CAGCGTACCCTATTTCTAGTAATTACTAGACCATTCGCCAAGATACGGGATAGTTCTAGAAACAAGAGAGCGTGAGAATTGTCACGTGATCTCGATGACGCAACAATGTGTTGTTTAACCTCGTAGTCACTGAGACGCCGCGCACGGTCATCAGATTCGTTCACAACTCTACGTACATACATGAGTAGTTTAGTCAGGTCTCTTAACCGTTTTACTTATTTTAAATACACAACACTGCCTTTACATTTTACATTATTTGTGCATTCAGATACAAATTACTAGGACGAGTTTCCCCCAGTGTTATATTAAAACGATTTATGGGAATCAGCAATCACTAAATAAAATCGTTGTGGAACGAGTTGTATCGAAGCTACATTTTAGCACTGTTTAGTTTTTTGGGCATGCCCCCTAAAATTGAACGCTTTTGGAAAGGGTGTGTAACAGTCCTTTCCGACGCAAAATATTCATAAAATCCAATTATATATTAGACCTGTAACAAGTCGTATTCCAGGCGTGGTTAACAAAATGCAGCGTCTTGTAGCAGTTCAGTGGCGAAAGCTGTCCATGTGTTATAGGTAGCAGTATACAACACAATCAAGAAGGATCTCTGTTTGAAAATACGACACAAGTCGCATATACACAAGTCGCTTCCACGACTTATTAGTTCAACACAAGTCACTTCCACGACGTATTAGTTCAACACAAGTCACTTCCACGACTTATTAGTTCAACACAAGTCACTAACACGACTTATTGGTTCAACACAAGTCACTTCCACGACGTATTGGTTCAACTACCACATACCTCAAGCAGCTGGTATTCACGCTATTTCATAACCAGTCAAGAAGGCTATGTATTTCTATATTTGTAAACAAAGCACTGGGAAACTGTTGTCATCGTAAAACTCGGCGAATTATGGAAAATCAACAGAGAGGAGTGGTACGCTTTGGACATGCTAAATTTAGGACGGAAGATTTTGAAATGGAAATTTTACTCAGAGGCTATTCTCAAGTTGCATGGCTGCGTGGTCGTCAGACATAGCATGACCGCACGTGGCAACTTTGACTGTGACGATATGGTGAAGCTCCAAAGTTGTTTTAATTTAACGGACTCAATCATAGAGGCAACCTGTTAAAACTCAAAAAACAACCATAAAGGCAAACTGTTAAAACTCTGTGCTACTGATGAAAAATAAATTGTATTTTAAAAAAGCGTAATTTTTTTATAGATAAAACGATAAATCCAGTTGATAGTTCTATAAAAAACTTCTTTTTTTTCTAAATACGATTACTTGTGTATGTACATATGTGCGTGTTATATACTTAAAGATTTCATTGACCATTTGAAAACTAAAAATTTATGTCTGTTTTTCTTGTACTTTCCTATAATTCAAGTTTGGTTTTAAAAGAAATACAGATAAAAAAGGTAGTTCTATTCGAAAAATAACCATAGAGGCAAACAGTTAAAACTCGAAAAATAACCATAGAGGCAAACAGTTAAAACTCGAAAAGTAACCATAGAGGCAAACTGTTAAAACTCGAAAAATAATCATAGAGGCAAACTGTTAAAACTCGAAAAATAACCATAGAGGCTAACTTTTAAAACTCGAAAAATAACCATAAAGGTAAACTGTTAAAACTCGAAAAATAACCATAGAGCAACCTGTTAAAACTCGAAAAACAACCATAAAGGCAAACTGTTAAAAGTCTGTGCTACTGATGAAAAATAAATTGTATTTAAAAAAAAGCGTAATTTTTTCATAAATAAAACGATAAACTCAGTTGATAATTCTATAAAACTTCTTTTTTTATTCTATGTACGATTACTTTGGTTTATGTTATATTTACCTTTAAAATCTTGCTTCTTACAAAACCTCTACAATGTATTTCATTTTCTTTATTTTTTCATCGTTATCAGCTTACCGCATCAGATCTGCATGCACGAGATTTTCTTCCTTTGTTACATTATATTAGTTGCTATGAGGATGCAGGCGATCATGTTAGCAAATACAACATTTTGATAATTTGTTAATATACACTGACTATAACGAGGATGAGGCATAATAGTTACATTTGTGATACTTTGTTTTTATAGTAACACGTATAGAAAGAATAAAGATGTCTGAGAAGCTTCCGTTTTAACTTATATTTTGAAATGCTGCAGATGTCTTATAACGTAGTTTGAAATTCTGCAGTTGTCTGATAGGCTTCCGTTCTAACATAGTTTGAAATTCTGCAGTTGTCTGATAGGCTTCCATTCTAACGCAATTTGAAACGTTGCAGTCGTCTGACAGGCTTCAGTCTAACGTAGTTTGAAATTCTGCAGTTGTCTGATAGGCTTCCGTTCAAACGCAATTTGAAACGTTGCAGTTGTCTGATAGGCTCAGTCTAACTAGTTGGAAATTCTGCAGTTGTCTGATAGGCTTCCGTTCTAACGTAGTTTGAAATTCTGCAGTTGTCTGATAGGCTTCCGTTCAAACGCAATTTGAAACGTTGCAGTTGTCTGATAGGCTTCCGTTCTAACGTAGTTTGAAATTCTGCAGTTGTCTGGTAGGCTTCCATTCTAACGCAATTTGAAACGTTGCAGTCGTCTGATAGGCTTCAGTCTAACATAGTTTGAAATTCTGCAGTTGTCTGA